GGATCGCAACGAACAACTATTTTCCTTCACACAGAAATTAACCGAAAAACAAACAAACAAAAATTGTAATTCATCAGTATCACAGTGACTTTTTAAGAAAGGTCATGAAAATTCTACATCGATAAGTTATCTAGTCAGTTTTCACTAAGAACTTACATCGGCTTTCCTACACTAGTTGAATCTCTACAAGTAAATACACTGAGTAATCATTTTATTTAAACGAGCCACTTGTTGTTTCCAACACCTAATCAATAACAAAGAACCCATATCTCGATGCATACTGTTGTAATCAAGAAAACAAAAGTCACTTTTAAGATGGTGGTTGGAGGTAGTCAACAGGAAACCCTGGACCCGGGTTTCGTGCTACTTATCAATGGTCAGTAAGGTGTACCTGCAATCTTGTGGGTACTGGTGCTTCCTGACGGATTCGATCCCATGTCACCCAGCTTCACAGTCAGAGACATTACCACCGGGCTATCCGGGCCGCGACCGACCTCCTGTAGGACTGGTCGATAGCATTCGATCCGCACTAAGAAGAACTTGACACATATGAAATTGGTCACCACCCAGCGATCAATCAATTGTGATTACACAATGTAAATTGTTTTCCCTGTTAATCACTCCCACTTTAATGTAACATGTAAGAAATCTACATCATGAGGTATACGTAAAATTCTGTTTTCCCATTCAGTCAGTTATAGCAAGTAGCCGAAAAATTTATGATTTTGACCAAGCGTCTGTGAGTGACTTCATGAAACACAGTAAATGAGACTGATTTTAAGGCCTGGAATTATTTGGTCGGCTAATGACCTACAAATTCTGAACCCCATAATTTCAATTTTTAAACGAATTTCAGTTATGTTTATTCTGCGTAAAATATACAGATATTTTCTGCCGTCACAATATTGCACACAGAGCTTCAAAGTATTATTATTATTATGAAAATCTCAGGAAAACGCTTTTCATGTCAATCTCATAAAATATTTGTTTTCACTAAATAGGTATTAAACATAACAGAGTCAACTGCGCTTGTCGATCTTCTAGGGTTTCTGCCCGTCCGAAGCCGGGGTAATGGAAGAGAGATGAACATAGGATCAGCAACCCCGTCTCGTAGAAAACAACCTTGCTAAAAAGTGTCAACCAAGATCAATCAAACAGTTACAGAAATGAGGAGATACAACTTGATGGTGCTCGAAATCAGTGAAACCCATTTGACCAAAGCTGAATTGAAAAGAGTAGATTTGGGAGAGGTGCTGTCATATTCTGTTCACGAAATAGAAAATGCTTCACAAACTCTGTGGGTTACTCTGATGTTATCCAAAGTAGCACAAACAGCACTTCTTGGATAGGAACCTCATGGATCCAGAATCATCAAAGCATTCGTCAAAACAAAGAAGGGGGAATCGCAATGAATTTTATCTAACATTATGCATCCTCCAACGATATCAATGAAGAAGACAGAGATCAGTTTTGTGAGAGGCTGTAGTTGAACGTGGAGAAGTGCCCAGGAAATGATCTGAACATCCTGATGGGAGACCTAAATGCCAAATTCAGAATGGACAAATATAATGCAAATATAAGGAACGACATGAACTGGGAGAAACGAATTAGAATAGTGACAGATTGGTAAATTTATGTGCATTCAACAAAATGTTTATATACGGCACCACATTCCCCACAGCTCATAAATAAAGCTACATGGGTCTCACCAGATCACACTACACAGAACCAGATAGATCATATTTGCATCAACACAATATATATAAAGTTCATGGTAGACGTGAGAAAAGAGAGAGGAGTTGATATAGCTTCAGATCACAACCTGATAGTTGCCAAGATGAAAATGAAGCTGAAGAAGCAATGTACGATTGTGGGAATATCATAACAAAGGTTTAATACAGACTTCCTTCAAAATACTGACAAATTCAATGAATTCAATATCTCTCTCTGCAAGAGGTTTCAAGCCTCACAAGCTTTATTCAAAGAGGAGAAAAGCGCTACGGAGAACAACTGGAAAGGGACAAAAGAAAAAGTAACTTAAGCATGTCAGGAGGTTCTGAGCATCATAAAGTATCATAATAAGGGATCAGTCTCTTTCGGAAACCTAGACAAGCTTCAGGAAAGGAAGAAAAAAGACTACAGCAATCACCAACAGTGGAACAAGAATAGCGCAAGTCAAAGCACTGGCCGAATACACAGAAACAAACAAGAAAGAAGAGCAGCATTAAAGCCAACAAGCAGAAATAAATGGAAAACTTGGTGGCGACAGCAGAAAAAGCTGCAAGAGAAGAAATTATCAAACAATTGTATGATATAACGAAAAAGCTAGCAGGGAAATATAGTAAGTGAGAACGACCGGTCAAAAAGAAATAAAGCAAACCAGACATTGTGATTCAACAACAGTGGGATAGGTGTGTTAAATAATCTGAAGAGCTCCTGGGTAGACCAATTCCACTGAACCCACCGGACAAAGAGGCAGCACATACAAATCTTCTTATAACCCTTACCCCACCAACAATCGCGGAAATCAGCATGGCCATTAAAGGGAGGAAGAACTAGTGTCGACAGACTGGAGAGAAGGATATCCCATCAAGATATCAAAGAAGGGAGATATGAGCAAATGTGAAGACTTTAAAGGCATCACACAACTGTCAGTACAAGGAAAAGTTTTCAACAGAGTGTTGCCGAATCGGATGAAAGATTCAGTAGACGCTCAGCTTCGAGATCAGTAGGCTGGATTTCGTAAGACTCGATCGAGCACACACCAAATCGCGACACTACAGATCATTGTTGAACAACCAATTGAATGGAACTCGTCACTATACATCAAATTACATGACTATGAAAAAGTGGTTGATAGTGTGGATAGGAGAACCTTGTGAAATCTGCTTCATCATGGTATGCCTGGTAAGTTCGTTAACATTATACGGAATTCATACAAAGTAGTCGTGCAAGGAGGTCATTTAACAAATGCATTCAAAGTGAAGACTGGTGTCAGACAAGGCTGCTTACTCTCGCCCTTCCTTTCGCTTTTGGTGATCGACTGGATTATAAAGGCCTTTCGCATCTTAAGAGAAGCATGTGATACAGTGGAAACTTCGTACACAACTAGACAATTTAGACTCCATGGATCACCTAAATCTTGTATCCCTTGAACTCCAACAAATGAAAGTGAACACAACCGGTGCAGCAGCAGCACATGCAGAAGTGGGCCTCAACATACACCAGAGATAAACCAAAATATTCAAATGCAACACACAGTTCATCAACCCAATCACACTTGATGAAGAAGCTCTAGATAAGGTGGACACTTTTACGTACTTGGAAAGCATCAATTATAAAGAAAGAGGATCTGATACAGATGCACAAGCAAGGACACCACTCTTACAACTGAAAAACATCTGCAACTCAAAGCACCTGTCAGCCAACACACAAGTCGGAATTTGCAATATATACAAGACGGTTCTATTGTACGAAACTGAAACTTGGAAGACTACTATAACCATTATCAAAAAGGTGCAATCTTTTAGAAACTGTGGTCTATGCAAGATACTCCACATCCGTTGGCCGCATATGATCAACAACAACCAATTGTGGAAGAGAACGAACTAGCATCCAATTGAAGAGGAAATTAGGAAAAGGCATTGGTGATGGATAGGATACACATTTCAGATATCATAAAACTACATCACGAGGTAAGTTGTAACTTGGAATCCTCAAGTATAAAGGAAAGGCGACAAATCAAAGAACAGATTGCGTCGGGAATAGGAAGCAGACATCAAAAGAATGAATAGCACCTGGAAACAACTGAGAAGTATTGACAGAGTTTGATAGATAATGTTGTTGGAAGGCCTATGCTCCTGTACGATGAGTAACAGGCATAAGTGCATCAGTCTGTTTTCTGGTATGTGCCACAACTTCAGTCGAATATAGTCCTGTTTGTCGTTGAACTCATGGTTACAAGTCAGTAGAGGTCGAAATCTGAGTATGAAGGTTAGAACTATTTTTTAAACGGTTTTTTATGTTTATGAACATTCACACCTTTAAATAATGATAAAGTTTCCTACTTTTCAATTTCAGATCACTAATGATCTACATGTGACTGAAAAAGGTTTGTACTAAAAGATACTGATGACGCAATGGGGAGTAACCCGATCACTGATTAGAGAGTTCTATTGCGTGTTTTGTTATTCGTAGGATTAACAAGAGGATATCAGATTTTAGTTTTAGTGAATTTTAATGTGAAACTCCAGTAGTATGAGTTATTAAGTAGTTTTCTTATTCAGGTTACATACATCTTCAGCCAATGATCTAATTATGGTATTTGTTTTCTAAAAGATTCTTGTTTTAATTAGTCAGACTGAACTTTACTTACATTTTCACTCATTATTAGCATGTTAAAGTGAAAATCTAGCCAACAGTTGTTATCTTAACAACTGCTAGATTGTTTATTATTTAAAATGACCATATAATAGGTGTTCATATGTAAAATAAAATAGAAATTTTAAATAGCTAGACTAAGAGAAATGACACAATGTGATTTGTAGGATGTTTTTGAGAGAAAAGAAAACAAGCGCTAAGTTTTTCCCTAATCATACGATTTGTGACTGTGTCTGTTAAAAATTAGCACAGTGATCACGTGAAAATCGTGTATTAAATTGAAGAACATTCAGATACCATAAAATTGCTTGTAGTTTATTAAAGGTGAATTTTTGTGATCACTTATGTTATCGATGTTAATTCAGTCAAGTGGAATCTGATTATTTTAAGTTTGTTGGTGATACCCCAGTACGGTTTGCAAGAACACGAAGAATCATGAGAGAAAAATACCACTTATACCAAAATTAAGGTTCACTTTAAGTAGACGTATATGCTGGGTGTCATTCAGCAGAATATGTGACTCAAAATGAATTGTGAATGAATTACATTGTTTAAGTTTATTGTAAAACAAATAACTGATATTTATTTCTGAAACTGTAGGGATGAACTGGTATGCTTACTTTTTTGACACATCTCAGGCTTTGGACCCCAGCAATAGCCTCGTCCATTTACCACAGGACAGGAACCATGACAGGAATGTTTGGTGCGATCTGTAAGTAGAAAAGTAATCGAAAAGACAGAACTGAAAATAACGTGTTCTAAAAAAAACTTCCGACGAGAATACCCTGTATTATGCTTTTTTAAAAGTTTACTGTGAACAAATTTCAGAATCAACAACTTAGTATTCACTGTTCAACTTTGAAATCACTATATGTTTATATAAAACAATATGGAAAGTGTAACTTAGCCATAACACATGAAAGATTGATAAACTGAAAGTGTGAATAGACTGAATTAGCATAAAAATTACAAAAACACTTTGCTAATAGCACCCAACTCAATTCGATTCAATACACAATCTGTTAGTTTTATAAAAGTATTGTTTTCATTTGCTAACAGTATTGATTGGTAATTTAAATATACTACTTAAATCAGTCTAGTCAGACTGTAATTTCAGTAGAATTTTATAGCGACTTCTTTGAAATTAGTATGAATACTACAGAACACTTACTTTGTAATTTATCATCTAGCAAGGCAAATTTTACCAAGTGATAAAAAGTCTCTATAGACGGGTAAATTCAATGGTCAAAAACGACTTGCTAACTTTCTAAGTTATCATATAGTTCAGTTCGTATTGCTGACTTTGGAATTCAAATAATCACTTATAAAATCACAAGATTGTGATTTATTTAACACTAGATTCCGGGAAAAACTTGAAAAACTAATATCTAACGAGGATAGGATTACTGTTTCATCGAGTAAACAACGTAAACAAGGTTTTTTCTTCGGATATTCCTGATTGACTGAAATGCTTAAATATATTCACAGAAACCACAAGAAGTCGAAAATGAATTTAGAAATATTCCAGTTTGGTTAGAATTTCATACAAAATGTCGCAAACATACTAATACTCCGTGCATCAGAAACTTTCATAATTGAAATGATAAACGATTAATTAACGTCACATCTTGAAATCATTTAAATGATTAGTTCTACATAGCTTATTGTCAACGGACCTAAAAGATGACAAATATCTCTGGGGTTCAATCTTACAATACCCGAACATGCTGAAAATATAATTAAAGCTGAACCCAGATACGTTTCATGCATATTAGATCATAACCATATAATAAATTCATGATTGTGTGAAAATTAAATGGTGCGACCAACTAGACTCATATCTGATTATTTAAAACTGACATAACCCATTAAGCTAAAACTCTTGAATTTAACTTTTAAAGTTTATATCACTTGAAGTCTTCAAATTAAATCTACAAAAAAATTTTTTTCGCTCAGTATTGGAAAATGGTCTCTTTCTAATTTATGAAATAATATAACGTGGTAACGAAACACGTATTTGTGTAAGAGGCCTGTTGGAACTGTATCAAAGAATGACTTTAGCTATATGAATACTTAAAAATTGTCTCACTTTTGACATGGCTGAACTTAGCTGGCCATGGCATCTTTGGAGAATTCTAGTCATTTCTATCCGATGTTAGTCACTAGTTAGTAATAGGTGTTATTAGTATAGAAGGGTTGTGAATAGTGTCCAAGTTAAAGACAGATACCAAGAAGAGTAAGATGTCCAATGCTTCTAGATTTCCTATGGTGGTTTAGATAGGATTAGTCTATAAAGACTTTGTTCATGGACTTGATATCGAGCTTGGAGACTGGCGATACTAATCTATTGTCCAGATTGAAGCAAGTCAAGCGAGTGCCAAACTTTTGTTCAGTTAACTGTTCTTGTAAAATGTTATGTCTATTTGCATAGAATGCTTGCAACTGAATTTTTTTCGATTGTTTATTAGAGTTAAAAATAATTTGAATAGAAAATAAGAGAGAAATAGAAAGGCAAAGTGAAAAACGATTTATGTAATAGGACAAATGATTGAAGACTGAAAATAGATCAAGAGAGTATTTATTCCAAGTGGACAATGTTAAGGATGAGTAAGTAAAACAATTTTCGAAATTCATTACTGATAATGAAACGCTTTATTGCTTCGTTACATTATGTTAAAAGAAAATATTTTGTTTTTTATTGAGAATTTCGATAGTGACATGACGTGATATTTATCAAATGTGTATAAAAATGGTAGGAAGTATTGAACTAGTTCACATAGTTTTGTCTTATATATGGGATAAAACTATTAAATTTCTATCATGTACGTTATTATCCTAACCATTATTATTTACTTATTAAAAAATGTGTGAGTTAGTAATAATAAATATATTCTTGGGATATCATAAGAATATAGTTATTATCATTAACTTTCTACAAAATGCTCAATTTATTTGAAAATATAAGGTCCAACCTTGACATTGATACCTACACAACCATTATATGTGAGTTAATTGTTAAAGCCGCTTTATGTTTCCAAATAGTTTTTGCTTAGTGTTGAGAAATCAATTCTTAGGTCATTCGTTAGTAGATTAAGTGTGCTCAACTGTGATTAACGTATCACTGAAACTCTACTTTGGAAATCACTGATAGTTGTTTACAACCGTGATAAGTTATGAATACTGGTTTGAATTCCACATTTTTGTACAGTGAAAAACTGAACAAATTAAAGCCTTTGTAATTCGATAGGCTGGTAGATAGTTAAATGATTTGATACCAGTTTCAATGTCAGTTTTCTAAGTTGATGGTTACCTGTTTCCAGTCAGCCTCGAATCTGAGAAGCTCAAAATGAAACAACATACAAATTAAGACGCAGGACAAGAATTTAGGGAAGTCTTATTGCAATGTATTTCGGTCTTCTGAATACAGTGATTTAGGTATGTTCACATCACTAGTACAACGGATAACTTTTAATTAATTCTAAGAAATAATCACTAGCTTACAGAGAATAGTAGGTATTCTAGATCTACAATAAATAGTGCATTTCTGCAGCTTACCAATAGTGAAACGTTTGAACTCGAAAACTTTAAAACTTGACGTTTTAATGTAAACCAATCTTTGATTCAATACTTATTCTTAGTATGAATACTAATAAAAAGTTTTCTCCACAGGTATTAGATTGGAACAGTATAGAAAGATAGAGTCATTTAATACAGTTGTAAACTGTGAATCTTCGTTCGTACCTGACAAAAGCAATAAATCTAATCAACAAACAAAACTGAGACGAATAAATAAATGAGAATTAGTAGTGTTCTGTTGATTGAACATTAAAATTTTATCGCCCAAAATTCATACAAATATATTCAACTTCTTTTCCATATATCACAAGGAGAAATTTGCGTTACCTTATGAACAAAAGTCAAGTACTTTGCCATGTGAATTGAAACTAGTTGCAGAATCTTTATAAGTCAATGGACATTGAACGACTAAATTTTTCGTTTTAGTTTACAATTTTCCAACAACAGCCTACTGAGTTATGGTTCATAATAGAACACATGATATCTCATGGTGATAGAAACTCAAATATAGTGGGTTGTTTAAAAGTAATTCAGCCTAATAATAGCTAAGTAAGTAGCAAAAGTGACGACCAACGGTTAAGCATTATAAAGCAAACACTTCAAAACAAAAACTAATCAAAAATTATTGCGAAAAATATTAATGATATAGAACTTTATAGATTAACTGTAAGGTTACCTCGACTAAAGATTTGGATTGCTTGTATCATTCCAACCAAATAATTCCAGCATATATTATCAGCTGTTAACAACTATAGTAACGAAAGCCTACTAATAAGACGTCAAATTTCATGAAATATTAATTAAGTTATTAGATTACAGAACTTAAAATCCAACAATATCTAGCCCAGCTGAAACCATAAAATGTGTTTTTCAACTTTAGTCTAATTGCTACAATGTGTAAGAAGACAGGAAGTTTTAAAGGAAACTAAATCAGTATGAAGATCAACATATATTCAGAAGATTTCTCATAAAGAGGTGAAAGTAAAGACTTTAAGTCTGTCAGTCTTAAATAATATATACGCAAATGTGGTGAACGTTATAATCAATATACTGTCGTTATATATATCAATTTTCAGTTTTATTTTTATATTATCAAAACTTTTCTCGTTCACATTTCAAAATCCAAATTGACAGTGTTCATATCCTCTATTTATACGTTGTTTCTAACATTAATTTAAACATTGTATTCAGAATTTTAGAATTGAAAGTTTACTTAAGGCGGAACACCTCAAGAGCTAATTTACAAAAAAAAATGTTTCTTAGAAAATGTTACCATATTTTCATTTATTTTTAAATAACCAATACAATCAAAATATCACATAAATCGATTGAATAACACAAATATAAATGTATGTTGATTAACGATCGATTTTATAGAATCTGAAACATGTGCATCTAATATACCATACTTGATAGTTGTATGCCTAATAATGAATGCCAAACAATTGATCGACCTGAAAAACAACTATATACTATATTGTGTGTATAACTGTAAAATATATACAATAACTGGCGTTAAATGAAAACTGAACATCATTAACTCAATGCTCTGTGTTAATTATCATCAATTAAGCATTACGAAAGATTAAAGCAATCGTAAAGTGATGCTTTTATGTAATCCATTATTGATTTTATTCCTAAAGTTCTTGAGATTGTTAATCTGCTTTGTGTCAATATAGAGTATATGATGCACATGGACTGGATCTCCGTATATGCTCTAAACGCCATTTGTAAGCAATAATAGTCATGACCAGAGTTGTTACATTATAGTTTTTGTGACATAATGTAGACAGAAGATAAAATAAATGTTTCTAGGCTACATTTCAGTTGCTAATTAAACTAGACTTATTACGAATTTATTAGAAAATTGATTGTTTAGAGTATTGTTATGATGGCTTTGATGTTAACTCATTAATGAATGACATGCTTTTTTTGTTTTGTAGGTGCCTTATGAATAAGACAGATTTATCTACCGATTAACTATAAAGTTAATTCTTTTTAAAACACTATCGATTACTGCTTCATCGATGTGCATTAAAATGTAGGTAAGTTTTTATTTGTCGTAGTTAATTTAATTCTGAGAATTAACACACAACGAAAAATATGGATTTTCATGTTTCCATGCACAAATGAA